AGAAATATAAAAACACGTTTTAATAGCTCAAGCGCCCAGTTCAACTATGTCCATCGCGTGCTTCACAGCAGGCTGGAAGCAATTGCGGTAACTTGCGTGTGAATTAGATCATTGTGAGAGTAGAAGTTTTGCAACTATGATGATGCACAAACAATCGTGACTTTGAAGGTTGTCAGCGGACGAGCAAGGTCGGCCTGGCCTTATTCGGCGTGTGCGTTTACCTAAAACCGCACGAGACTGCAAAGTAGCCGATAAAAAGAAAAGCAGGAAGCAGACTCACATCTTCGTGGATTGAGAAGATGGTACGCATGAAATCCGGCACCGCACCCAGATCGACGGCCGGCTTAGCTAGGAGACAGTTCCAGAATACCTCGTACATACGATGTTCTGGGCAAAAGATAAAATAACATAAGAATGGGGAAACAGACATCTAGATAAGAACCGACTTTAGATAACGGGGACAGATACGCCCAAAAACGTACCTGGTTTGGCTAACATAAGCAGTGCGTGGACAAAAAAGTTGGCATGGACGCGTGTGAGCCGGAAGGCAGTGTCCGCCCTGGAACCAAAGAGGAAGGGACGTCGAAAGCCGCCGCCGAGTTCTTCTGCCTTGTCACTCAGGCTATTACGAATAGTGTCCAGGATGAAGTTCATCTGAAGAAAAGGAGACATAATACGTGATCGAACACGCGGGCTTCTGGAATTGGGCCGTCACCTTTTCTGCTCTCCATTCGCATGTAAATTTACTTAGGCGTAGATCGGTTGGTCTATTTTGCTCACTACATAGGGCTTATTAAGGCTCTTTGTTTATTCAGAACTGGAGATCTACCATAAATGTGCAGCTGCACTTCTTGGAGTAAGTCCGGTAAAGGAAGTCGGGGAGAAGGGACAGGAACGATAGAATTTAATATTCGGTTGAGCCAATTGTGAAAAATTCGCGGCCTCGGTGAGAGTCGAACCCACACAGCAAGGAAGGCTTCTGCGTAGCCAACACTCTACCATTGAGCTGCGAAACTCACAGTAATCCGTGAATTTAATCACACTTGGATCGATTTTACCTGCCCAACTTACTGCTCGTATGGAATCCACCATTACCGAACATCAAGCTGACTACCGGAGGCAGGATTTCGTAAGCACTTATCTAGAATCCACCAAAATGATTATTGGGATCACTTAATTATTAGGGGGGTTTGGCAGCGAAAAATTCGCGGTCTCGGTGTGAGTCGAACCCACACAGCATTTAATATGAAGGAAATACGCTGCCAAGGCCAAAACTTGTGCGATATCATCACATCCACTGCTACAGTCCCAGAGGAACTGCTCGCATGTTCCGGGCCCAGGTCATCCTGGTCCGACACACGTCTCTGCTCACCTCGACACGACCAACACTGACCCTATCACTAAGCGTACCATTACGGTTGAGAGGTGAGTCGACATCGGAAGTTATGTGACGCAACCTGCATGGTACGGTTCAGGCGCGATCAGACTGCGTCGGCTTTACCAGCCCTGCAGTGGAACGTTTAATACACAATCGACTAAACATGCGTCCATACAGGCTGCTCTCAAGTCCCACATACACTACTTCAACGTCTACTACGACAACTCCTGAAATTTTTTAACCCTACTAAACGTCCAAGTGGATTTGAACGCATGCAACGATGAGTCCCCTACATAGTACAGCGAAATCGACACGACAAACTGGGATAATGCAGACAAGGTACACTAACAAGGGCATGATAAAACTGAAGTGGCCATCCTTTGCTTGTTTGTCACCCCGACTACAATCAACATTTAGAACACTCATCACGAATGAAGGAGAACGTTCGCGTTCCAGGTATTTGCATTGGTAAAGAAGAAGGATAGTCGAGTGCCGGATTGATTTATTTATTATTCTGAGCTTTCGAACTCTTACAGGAGTCCATCGTCAGACCATCATTCTTCTTTACCAGAACACTCATCATACACACACACCCCAAACACAGGCCACAGAGCATAAAAACCACACACAAAATTGTACGACAAGACACGTCAGCTGCGACAGGCAAACTAATAATGTAGATTGAGACAGTACAAAGAGCATGACAAGGATCGACATAGACATCTGGCAAATGCTAACACCTACATGCGGAAGGCCGCACGATACGCAATGAGTATGGCGGTAGCGCTAATGAGAATCCTGTTCGGGAAGGTAGCTAAGATTTGAGTACATCTGGACATTATTTAAATCTCAATAGAACA